GTTATAGTATTGCTGTTGGAGGTTTGTGTTCTCTTATCAAGTTAATTTGTTGTCTGCAACCAGTTTTTCTTCATTTTCGGTCAATTTTATTGATTAATAATTGGACACCATTTCACCTGTTTTGTCTTTTCAATTATTGAATGCAGGTGGCTTTGGGTCTTATCTATTGGGTTTAAACAGGAAAACATATGAGCAAGCAGGCGTTGATCCAGAAGGTAATAATCCTGGGAGCATCAAGGAACCTGGGATTGGTTGGATGATCGGTTTTCTCTTTGTGAGCTGCTTTGTTGGTCTTTTGGCATTGGTTCCTCTAAGAAAGGTATGTCTATTAATTTCTTCTATTTTCCTTTCCTGATATTCAGTGTAATTCCAAGATAAATTGATGATAGATTCATTTGTAGCGATTTCATTGAGTCTTTGGTGGTAATCCGGTTCTTAACAATTAAGATCATTATATATAATCTTAACAGTCAATGATGATTTCCTTTTCGGAACTTGCTATAATGGTGTCATGCGATTTTTGTTCTGTCAGATCATGATAATTGACTACAAATTAGCTTACCCAAGTGGAACTGCTACCGCTGTTCTGATAAACGGGTTTCACACTCCTAAAGGAGACAAAATAGCTGAGTATGAATCTACCAATTCTGAATTCTTTCCTTTCAAATTAAGCACCAAAACAGTTTGTAAGTGTGGCTTAACTCAATTATGTAATGATTCACCTTGCAGGAAGCAGGTTCACGGGTTTCTGAAATTCTTTTCACTTAAGTTTCCTCTGGGCTTTCTTCCAGTGGTTTTATGCAGGTGGAGATGGATGTGGATTTGCTCAATTTCCTACATTTGGTTTGAAAGCATGGCACAACTCGTGCGTGCTCTAGATTTTCCCTTCTCTCTGTGCTCACCTTTCCACTTACATATATCTTGCCATATTCTTTAAGTAGCGAAATTCATTTTTGCAGATTTTACTTTGATTTCAGCATGACTTACATAGGTGCAGGAATGATCTGTTCTCATCTAGTAAACTTATCTTTGCTTCTTGGAGCGGTGCTTTCTTGGGGAGTAATGTGGCCACTAATAGGTGGGCTCAAGGGAGAGTGGTTCCCTGCAACGTTACCAGAAAGCAGTATGAAGAGTCTAAATGGTTACAAGGTCTGCAGAGACATTTTATTTAGCAGCTTCTCCCTTAATAATATCTTGGCACCAACATTCATACTTATTTCTCACTATTTTCCATTCATCGTGCAGGTTTTTATTTCTATTGCTCTAATCCTGGGGGATGGACTCTACAATTTTCTGAAGATACTATTTTTGACTGCAGGAAACATTCGTACCAGAGTGAAATATAGCAACCTTAAAACATGTAAGACAGCAACTTCATAAAATGCCATTTATTTCTTTAGCTCTTGTCCAGCTTAGCACTTACTTAATTTTCTACTCGCTAGTTATAGCTGCCATTTCCTATGGAACTAGGCTGATTTCATTTTACAAGAGGTACTTAAGCAATTCAAATGGAGAAGTGGGGGGACTGCCCTCTTTTATCATGATTTGACATTCTGCAATGTTGTTCATTTTGATTTTGGAAGTGCTAACCGGATATGAGTCACCATGGTCTCATAGATCCTTGGAGAATAAAAACTTTTCAGACTCCTTTCTGTATATTGCTGTCCTTGGAGAATAACAACTTTACTAACTTCCTTTGCTTGTAATGCAGTTTCTGATAACCAAAAGCAGAATCTGTACGATCTTCAATGAAATGAACTATTCATTAGAGAGAGCATTCCTATTTGGGTAGCATGTGCAGGGTGCACCATTTTTTCTATCATTTCCATTATTGTGATCCCTCTGATGTTCCCTGAGTTGAAATGGTACTATGTACTCGTTGCTTACATTCTTGCACCCTTTCTAAGCTTCTGTAATGCTTATGGTGCTGGTCTTACTGACATGAACATGGCCTATAATTATGGAAAAGTAGCTCTCTTTGTGCTTGCTGCCTTATCAGGAAAGGAAAATGGTGTGGTTGCAGGACTTGTGGGCTGTGGTCTTATTAAGTCCATTGTTTCTATCTCTTCTGATTTGATGCATGATCTTAAGGCTGGGCATCTAATTCTCTCTTCTCCAAGATCCATGCTTCTCAGCCAGGCAATTGGAATAGCCATTGGCTGTGTTGTAGCTCCGCTTACATTCTTTCTCTTCTATAAAGCTTTTGATGTGGGGAACCCTGATAGTGAATACAAAGCCCCATATGCCCTCGTTTATCGAAATATGGCAATTCTAGGTGTTCAAGGCTTCTCTGCGCTTCCCCAGCATTGTTTGCAGCTCTGTTGTGGGTTTTTTTCTTTGCCATAGCAGCCAACTTGTTTAGAGATTTTACTCCCAAGAATATCGGGAAATGGATTCCCCTTCTAATGGCTATGGCTGTGCCCTTCCTTGTTGGTGCTTATTTTGCAATTGATATGTGTGTGGGAAGTTTGGTTGTGTTTGCATGGCACAAGCTAAATGGCAAGAAGGCAGGTTTGATGGTTCCCGCTGTTGCTTCTGGCTTGATATGTGGAGATGGGTTGTGGCTTCTTCCTTTGTCTATTCTTGCTTTGCTTAAGGTTCGTCCTCCAATCTGCATGAACGTCTCATCGACATAGACTATGTTATGAGGACAGAGAAAAGGTAGAGTGCAGAGGCTTTGTTAGTGACATTTAACACAGACTAGTTTTGTAGTTGGAACCTGCAAAATGATGACAGACCAGAGTATGGTGTTCGATACACAAGCTGTGCTTTCCAGCAATAGGGTAAGAGGCAACATATATATATATATATATATATATATGTATGTATGTATATCTATTTAAGCTGCTCCAAAGTAACATACTTTATATGAGCTTGAAGTGACAGGAAAAGTTGGGTAGTTCTGATGTATATCAGTATGTGAAAAGGTTGTGTAATAAGAAATCAGTTTGGGTGAAGAATAAACATAGTCTTCCTAAAGCTTTAATACTTTTCTCTTCTTGTTCATGCTTCAAAATATGTGGACATTTTTTTTTGCTTATTTATATTTATAAGGTCTGTATATGTATGAGACCAAATTGTATATTTCACATTACACATGAAGCCATGAACATCTCTTTCTTTCTTTTTTTCTTTTTTTTTTTGTTGCTATCAGAATGTGGATTACAGCAACATAGCCAGAAACTGTTAGCAAAGGAAACAATGCTGCAAGTGTACTATCAGGGGAATGAACTTTCTTGGACGTTGCTGAGAATCAATAGAAAGCTTATAATCTTCTCATGAACTTGACATTCAACAAAAAGATAGATCACAGTTTTGTGCACCATTTAGTAAGGGATGATTCAACCATGGACGAATAAAAGATTTCCTCATCGATGGGATCAGCTTGGCAACAAACCTTAGACTGGAACTTGATTGGAATTCTATTGAATTTTATTTTTCAAATTTCAACCCAATGTTGAAAAATAATCAAACTTGAATTAAGCTTGTATATAGAACTAAACTCGCTTAACCATTGAAGGTATTCAAACTCGAACTTGACATGAGTTTGACGGTGACGTAATTACATTATCAAAGCTTTTAGCTGTTGCTGAGGTATATCTTCCCTGGTCAGTTTGCATGCTTAGATTAGATGTGTCCATTAACATTTAACAGATAGAAATTAGTTGTGATGGGCAGAAAGACGTGTTGGGAACGGATCAAATATGTTCAGTGATCCCGTAAGTCTACCAGCACAATGTTACTCCTCACCTCTCCGTTCCTTTCCCCCAATCCAAACATAGGATTAGAGCACAAAAGCCTCGTGGGCTAGGACTGATCATGGATGTTTAAATACCCAAAAAAGAAAAAGACTACTTTATAAAAAAAAAAAGTAGGAAATTGCATACCAATCAGCTAGTTTTGTGCATAATGAAACAGCCGAAGTCCAACTTGTGAAAAATTCAGAGGAGCACAGCGTTTATTGGACTAGTCTACCTGGTTTTCCAATCAGATTACCATAAAGACAAAAAAAGCAGCATGGATAAGAAATTTTGGAACTGCCGTTCAAGTCTTACATTGGTTGGTGTGGGATTATTTTTTAAATGAAATATTTTCAATAGCCACCAATATGGAATTGGGGTACGTGTTTGATAAGTACAGCTTTATCCCCTACAAATTTCTTTACCAAAATCACATATTTTATACTCTTTTATCTTTTCTTTATTAATACCGTTACCGTCTTTGTTAAATACAACAAGAATCCAACACATTTTAAAATTTTAATAAAAATTATATATGAATTTAATAAAATTAAAAAATATTTTATATTTAATGTATTAATATAATAATTTTTATATTTTATAAATATTTAATATAAAATAAATATGATATAAATTATTAAATTATTAAATTTAAATATATACAAAATTTAGATGCTCGCGGCCTCATTCACGATTAAATAAAAGTAAAATACAAATGGTCAAAAACATGACTTCACATTTATGTAAAATTCAATAATAGCAACTATTAAAAATTGAAATCGAAAGAGACTTTTTGCTTCTTAAAATTTTTCGGTCAAATAAAAGAATTAAAGACAAACGTGAAACATCAAAAACTAAAATATTATAAAAATTTTCTTAAATTATTTTATTTTTTAAATAAATTTTTAAATTTTTATGATATTCAAATAAGTTTTTATATTTTGATCTTTTATTAAAATAAAATTTTATTTTAAAAATTTTATTTTAATACAATTTAAAAGTTAAAAACTTATTTAAATATAATTAAAAATTAAAATTTTATTTAAATATAATAAAAATATAAAAAAAATTTATTTAAATAAAATTATAAAATTCAAAAACTTTTTTTTTTATTATTTTAGCCAACACCAATCAGACTTCAGTGGGAGGGTAGGACTAATTTGAAAAATAAACCACTACGTTTATAATTCTTGAAGAGACAAAACTACCTCATTGAACGGCACCCCATTCGAGGTTAGCTCCGTAAATTTGAAGAGTTTGATGGATATTTTGGCAATCATCATTCGGACACCTCGCAAACATAAGTAGAAGTGAAGATCCTCATATTGTTTGAGTTGGCACTTGGCGCTGTCTTGTTGAGGAAAAAGCGGAGATAATATTCTCAGAAGCAACCAAAGCTAAAGCCTTTTTCCAATCTCTCAAAGCAAGCCCCCGTAATTCAATCAGATTCCTCTCTTTGTTTCATCGTAAATTCTCTAGCTTTTTCTTTGCAAGTATATATTTGTAGGCTTTTGGAATTTTGATTTTACAAGGCTTTTGTTTTCTTCTGAGTATTCGGGTTTGTAGCTTTCTTTCTGGGTATTTCATATCTCTCATAGCTTCGAATGTTAAGGCTTTACTTGTAATTGGTGGTGGGGTTTTAAAATTTTGTTGCTTTCTGTGATTGGTTGTAGTGAAAAATGGCTTCATATTCAAAGATGCACACTTTCGAAGAGGTTGCTAAGCACAACAAAACCAATGATTGTTGGCTGATTATTTCTGGGAAGGTCAGGTCTTTCTCTCTGTTTTATTTGATTAGGGTTTCTGGTCTTTCTATTCAGAATTGTATAATTGCTTTTTCTATTTTAAACTATGCTTATTTTGGTGATTATTGATTGCTGATGAATTGTGAGCATAGTTCATCTTTCAACCGTAAGTTTCCTATTGGACAGTTAAAACTGGAACTTTCTGTGTGAATGATTATTCAAATTTGTTTTGCATAGTCAGCTATGTTGGATGATTTAATTTCTAGATTTATGAGTCTAGTTTCTTACCTGTTGGTTATTCTTCAAAATAGGGGACCCAGGAAAACCAAAAATGAAAGGAGAAAAGAGAGAGTGGGCAGGGGGGGGGGGGGGGGCGATGATAGAGGGGTAGAGAATTAAGGGGCTGATAATATATTCATGTTCATGGTAGGTGAGCCTTGATATTTAACTTTTTTTTGGCCTGAACTTTTTATCTTTTCAGATATTGGATTAGTATATTAATGAATCTCTTAATTTTAGTGTGTGTTTCTGCAACTCTTGATGCCACTAATATGGTTATTCTTGTCAGATAGATTTGGATGTTTTCGGTCGAAAGAAATTTCTGAGTGGAGAATAGTAAACTTTGGTAGTTTACTTATTATATGTGACAACGTCTACTCTCATCTATCATCACATATATAATGCTGCGTTTAATTGTCTACGCTAGATCACATGTGTATCTTCTTTGATGTTTAAAAGTCACTGACAAATATGACAAGAACAAGATATTTGGAGTTAAATTTTGTATTATGCTATTGGATATAATTGAGATTTCCCTCTATATAGGTATATGATGTAACTCCATTCATGGATGATCATCCTGGAGGCAGTGAAGTTTTGCTGTCATCAACTGGTAATTTTTTTTAACAATATATTTTGTATTTGGTTCTTTAATTAATTTTATTGAATTAAGCCTGATTTGATAGTTAGATCATGAATATTTTCCGCTGTTTTATCAGGGAAGAATGCCACAAATGATTTTGAAGATGTGGGCCACAGTGATTCCGCAAGAGAAATGATGGAAAAATACCACATTGGAGAGATTGATTCCAAAGCTGTTCCGACTAAGCACACCTACATCCCACCACAGCAAACTCCTGTCAACCCCGATACAACCCCTGAGTTTGTCATTAAGATCCTACAATTTCTTGTACCCCTCTTGATTCTGGGCTTGGCTATTGCAGTACTTTCAATACACTAAGAAAGAGTAGCTTATTACTACACACAGGAGTTTACCCGTTTTGAGGGGTCAATTGGTGGTGTCATCTATTAGTTGAAAAGGGCAGTCGCATCTTTTGTTTAATTTCCTTTTAGTTTTTGTGTGTCAAGCTGCATACTGGTTCATAATGTGGTCCATTAATACTATACTGAGTAACTTTGAGCTCCCATAGTTTATTACTACACTGGAGTTTACTCGTTTTGAGGGGTGAATTGATGGTGTCATCGGTTAGTTGTTTGTTTAATTTCCTCTTTTGGCGTTTGTGTCAAACTGAATACTGGTTTATAGTATAGTCCATTGTCGAAGACAATGCTTTATTGAGCATCTTTAACGCCCATTTATGTCTGCATTGAGACAAGACAATGTGTAAATTTGTTGGGAATTAAAAGCAGGAGCATGTTTTTATTCCTTTGTGTTATATTCCTTTTTCGTTTCCCAGCTGGAATGGCAATGATCTAACACACAAGTTTCTGCCATTTTAAAGACTACTAAAGGGCTTTCTCACCGAGGGACAAGGGAGGAGGTGTATCACAGAATTTTTTGTCGAGAACGTGCGGTCCAACCCCGTTTGGTTTTGACCAACGAAAGACTATGGGCTTTTTGACTTTTAACTAAGAAAGAGCCCTATATGATAAAAAGATGGGTGCGACCCGATTTGGTTTTCGCATGGAAAAGAAACAGTGTGATGCCGAAAAGAAGAAAGAACCGAAAAAGAAAGAGAGAATGAAAAAAAAAAAAAAAAAAAAAAGAGCTGTTAGTTGAATGAAGGTTGATTTGTAATTTGATTGAGTTAAAATTTTTTCAGTATTCATGATTTAGTGTTTTACATTTTGAACGGTAAAATCGGGTTTGAAGTTTTTTAAGAACAAATTATGATATATTTGTTGAGTCACCTATTTGATGAGATTTTTTCAATTGTTTTGTTTAGTTGTTGATTTGTTTTAGTTTTAGTTAGAGGAAAATTTTGTATATCCATTATTTGATAGTAAAGATTTTTTCAGTAGTCTATAATTTTTTTCTCTACATTGAAAGATTTTTCATGTAAATTTTAGTGTGTTTTATTTTTCTTACATTGTTAATTATTGATTATTGTCTATTTACTGTGGGTTTATTACAATATATTGCTTTTACATTATTGTGTTTGTTGCTTCAGACTCAACATGCGGTATCACAGTACTAATTATTTTTGAGATATTGATATAATAACAATTCAAGATAGAAGTAAATTCTGTTTCAGATCATGAAAGGTGATATAGGTTTTATGATAAAATTGATAATATCAAATTATTCAATTTAAAAGCCTATGATAGAAGATCATTTATACTGTAAAGATTTATATGAGTTGGTATTGGATGATTTGGCTAAGTTAACAGATATGAAAGATAAAAGCTGGAATAAGTTAGGTAAAAAAAACGTTGGTCACAATTAGAAAATAGGTTGGTATCGGTGTGTTTTATCATGTAACACAAGAGATAAATGCTCATATTATTTGAAAAAAATTAACAGTATTGTCTGAAGAAAGACAGACATAAATAACTTTATGTTTGTTAAAAAGCTTGCAATTTTACAGTATAGAGATGGACAATCGATTACAGAGCATTTGAATAATTTTCAAGATATATTCAATCGGATGACTACTATGGAGCTTAAAATGGATGATGAAATAAAAGCATTATTTTTTTTAGGTTTATTACCAGACAACTGAAATACTCTAATTATGATTGTTCTTAATTTAACTCCTGACTACAAGATGATATTGGAGATGGTAAAAGATAGTATGTTTAACAAAGAAATAGGATGAAAAGATTCAAATTTTGGGAATCAAGCTCTTGTCATAGAAAATAAAGGTAGAAACATCGATAGAGGTAAGAATTTGAAAGGTCATAGTAAGTCTAAACATGAATCTAAGTCTAGAGATGAAGTGAAGTGCTACCATTGGAGTAAACTCAGTTATGTAAAGTGAAACTGCAAAATCTTAAAGTAAGAGCAAAAAATTAGAAAGATAAAAGTTCAAATGATGACAATGTTATGACGGTGATTCAGATAATGATTCAATTACTTTGATTTATATACATAGAGATTGCAATCATGTTGGTGATCCTAACATTAAATGGATAGTTGATACATAAGTGACATATCATTGTTTTCCTAAGAATAAGTTGTTTACAACTTATAAAGTAAGAGATTTTGGTTGCATCAAAATGAAAAACAAGAGTATGTCACAGATTGTTGGGATCAATGATATTGTTATACAAACTAGTACGGGTTGCATGTTGATTTAAGAGATGTCGACACATTTCGGATATTAGAATCAATTTGCTTGTGATGAAAGTTCTTCATAAGGAAAAATTTGAGAATCAACAAAAGAAAGCAGTGAAAGTTTCTCAAAAGAGTTATGATAGTTGCAAAAAAAAAATTATGCTGCATAATATACAAGACATGGATGCAATTGAACGGCAACCAGATAAATACCGTTGAGAATGTGCTTTAGTAAGCAAGGTAGTTTTTCATTTTCTTGACCAAAGGTATGTTTCTCAATTCATGTGATCATTATTTACATGATAAACAACGTAGAATTTTTTTTCGTAAGCGTTCTCAAAGAAAAGAAAATAGATTAAAATTGATTTATTTTGATGTATGTGGTCCTATTGAGGTTGAGTCATTAGGTGATAATAAATATTTTGTTACTTTTATTAATGATGCTTCATGTAAAACTTGGATGTATATGTTAAAAAATAAAAGTCAGTTATTGTAGTATTTTTAAAAATTTTATGTCATGATGAAAATGATGACAGTGGTGTTTTTGAAGTGTATTTAAATTGCTAATGGTGGAGAAACACACCTAAAGATTTTGAAAAATATTGTTAAAAATATGAGATTAGGCATGAAATGACAAAACCTAAAATATCATAGCATAATGGTATAACTGAACGGATGAATTGCACCATTATAAAAACAAAGTTAATTTATGCTAAAGATAGCAAAATTGTCAAAGCTATTCTAAGGTGAAGTAGTTAACACAACCTGCTATTTGCTTAACAAATCACTATTAGTGCCTTTAGGGTTTGACATTTTAGAAAGAACGTAAATAAGAAAAAATGCTTCATACTCTCACTTGAAGGTTTTCAAGTGTAAATTATTTATGCATGTACCAAAAGAATAGAAGTCAAAACTTGACAATAAAGCTACACAGTATGTGTTTGTCGAATATGGTGATGAGAAATTTGGTTACAAGGTATAGAATTCAATGAAAAAAAAGATAATAAGAAGCAAAGATGTGATTTTTCATGAAAAAGACACCATAACAAACCTTGAAAAGAATGAATAGATTACATGACTTATTGTTGAGTGTGATATTTCAACACCGTCAGAGGTTTTGTCAAGAAAAGCCACAGATGGTGAAAATGAGTAAGAGACAGAATTTAGGGATATGAATGAGCCAATCATATTAGTGATGAGCCAGATGTTATCAATTTTGAACCAGAGAAATTATCCTTTCTACCTTAGAATGTTTAGCAAGGTGAGCAATCCTTTCCACTAAATAGTGTTGAGTAAGAGGAGCTATCTTCAATATCAGATAGTGTAAAGTCTTAACTTAGGAAATCTATCAGAGAGTATAGGTTATCAATCAAGTATCCAAGTTTAAATTTTATTTATATGGATAAGTCTGAGGGTTTTAAAGTGAAAAGAAAAAAGCATTTAGTTTACAACTAAAAAAAAAGCTTGTATGACTTAAAACAAGCTCCATAATAGTACTAAAAAAAGTTTGATTCTTTTATGGTAAGTCATAACTGTAAAAAAAAGGGTAATGGATCCTTATGAATATGTTAGAAAATTTCATAATTGTAACTTTATTATTGTCTTATTATATGTTAAGGATGTGTTGATTATAAGACAAGATATTGGTATAGTTTATAGGTTAAAAGAACAATTGTTTAAGTTTTTTGACATGAAATATTTAGATCTAGCAAAGTAAATTCTCGATATGGATATTATCTAGGATAAAAAAGTTGAAAAGTTGTGGTTGTTACAGAAAAAGTATGCTGAATAGGTGCTTAATAGATTTAACATGTAGCATGTTAAATTAGTTAGCACTCCATTTATCAACCATTTTCATTTAAGTAAGAAATCTTGTCATGTGACTAAAGAAGAGTAACTAGATATATCTAATATTTTTATTCTTTTATAGTTGATTTCTTAATGTATCTTATGGCTTGCACACAACTAAAACATTGCTCATGTAATTGGTATAGTGAGCAAATTTTTCTAATATGAAAAAGGTTCACTGAAAAACAGTGAAATAAATTTTTAGATATTTGAAGGGCACCTAAAAAATGTGCTTAAATTATAAAACTACACAACTAGTTTTAGAAGGGTTTGCTGATGTTGACATAGCAGGTGATACTGATGATAGAAAATTTATTTCAGGGTATTTATTCACTTTTGCAAGAGAAATTATGTTTTGATAGTCTAAATTATAGAAGTGTATTGTCCTATCAATTACAGAAGTTGAGTAAATTGTAATAATTAAAGCAGGTAAAGAAATTCTTTGGATGAAACATTTTTTTTTTTAAGTTGAATGAAAAAGAGTATGTCGTATTTTGTAATAGCTAGAATACTTTAGATTTGATTAAGAATGCCATGTACTATACTAAAAAAAAGCATATTGGTGTTAAATATCATTGGCTACGTTTGATGATTAAGGAGCAACAGATTTAGTTGAAAAAAGTTTATACTAATGAAAATGTAATAGATATGTTGACTTCACTTCCAAAGGAAAAACTTAAGTTCTGTAGTAATTTAGTTAGAATTGGTTCATTGGCCACGATAAGTTTTAAATGACACTATTATGGTGATAAATCTTCTCCTAATGAGGCTAAAGTGGGAGATTGTTGAGAACGTGAGGTCTAGTCTCATTTGGTTTTGACTAATAAAAAACCATGGGCTTTTTGACTTTTAACCAAAAAAGAACCCTATATAATAAAAAATTGGGGGGCTAGTTTTGGCATGAAAAAGAAAAAAGTGTGGCGCCAAAATGAAGAAAGAAAGAACTAGAAAATAAAGAGAGAAAATGGAGAAGAGAGAGTTGCTAATTGAATACAAGTTGATTTATTGTTCGATTGATTTGAAATTTTGTTAATATGTTCATGATTCAATGTTCTATATTTTGAACGATAAAATTCGAATTTGCAGCTCTTTAAGAATAAATTCAGAGTGTATTTAAGCCACTTATTTAATGAGTTTTATTCAATTTTCTCTTTTATTGTTGATTAATTATAATTTTAGTTAGAAAAGAATTTTATATATTTATTATTTAATAATAAAGATTTTTTTAATGATTTGTAATTTTTTCTCTTTACATTAAAAAAAATTTTCACATAAATCTTGATATATTTTATTTTTTTATGTATTATTAATTATTAATTATTAATTATTTACTGTAAGTTTATTATGATTTATTGTTTTTACGTGACTCTGTATGTCTATTCAGGCCCAATATATTAGTGAACCAAATCCATACTAACGGTCTCAATATTGGCTGTTTCCTCCCCTTCTCTCCATCTCTTTTATTATTATATTGATAAAATCATGAAAAAGTGCAATTTGCATTCGTTCATCTTATCAAATGACAATGGGATTTGATGCCAACTTAAACTTGAATATGGTATCAGCATGGATTTCCAGCATAGGTCTACAGTTCCACCATAAGCACCAAGTGGGACGCATCAATCCTAGCCTTTGCTCGATCTAAATCCAAAGGTATGATGGTACAAAGAAAGGGCAACCGGGCAAGCCCTCTATGTCAAAGCAAAAGGCCAAGAGCTTGGCAGTCGGCAGTGCTCGATCTTTCAAAAGCATTTTCATGCAAGATGCTAAAAAACATGGTTATACCAGAAAAAGACATGATGGCATTGCATGATCAAGTCTAAATATTTCTTTTGCAATATGGTACACAGATTGGAATTATGGGCTCTGCCTGTCTTTCGCAACACACAAGTGATCAAGGATATCTTCCTATCTCGTGTGCTAAAAATATGGAGCAGTAGAATGCAGATTTATCTACTAAATAAGCATTTTTCAACTACTGCCACTGCAATAAGCCCTGAGAGTGAGCAGTGGCAAAATAAGCAAATATAACTCAGCAAAGACAGCATTTCAAGCGGTGCGTCAAAAAGAGACTGAATTACCCACAGAACCCAGATTCAGGAAAGAACCCGAGAACATCAAATTAGTGGACAAAATGTAGCAATGATCAAAAGGACGACTCTATCTTGTCATGAAGAGTTACCACCAAGTCATGCGCATCATTTAGGAGTTTCCATACGTCAAGTTGCCCGGCCATACTATTGCACTCCCTTAAAATATCATCCATGCTGCTATACTTCTCTATGATCAATTTCCTCCTCTGCAACACTGAAGCTGCAATTGCATAAAGCAATAAATCATCTGTTGGGGGTGCCCTTTGTCTTATCCTGCTCCAGGCAGACTTCCCAATCCCAGCTCTAATGGCTGCCTGATCTGCCCATATTACCTCCCAAAGGCAAATTGTCTGTTCAAATGTCAATTCCCTCCTAAACAGTACCACCACCATCCTATAAACAAAAAAGCAATCCTCAGCCTGGAGCTTCTCCAAATGCCTGTAGAGGTGAGAGTCCTTACATTTTATTATCTTGGAAACAATATTAAGTTGCCTCCTGATCCCCACCTCATCAAGCCTAAAATTATGTCGAGCCTTCTTCATGAAACCTACAAAACACCAGAAAGCCTCATAATCCTCTGGGATGACTGAAATTATTGGAGAAAGGAGATCACTCATGCCCTGGCAGTAGCCAATTTCAGGGTCATAAAGTGCATAAGCTTCAAGGATAGCAACCAAACGTGCAGCATGGAAAATTCTGCAGGGCTCCAGGTGATCATAATCCTTTAACCCAACAGCCTGAGCCGAACGGCGTGCCCTCCCATCAGATACTGCAGCCTGACAAGCAGAGTATGGCATCCATTCAGCATTGGCACGAACAGCATCCAAACGAATGATTCGCTGCCAGGTGGAAAAACCTTCAGTTGCACATAGTTTTGATTGCCCATCAGTGCTTGAGGGAGAAACATTCCTTTTTGAATACACGTCAGGATCATTCTCCTCCCTGCCATCCAAAGAGGGGGAACCCTGAATCACTTCAGGGTCTTCTGACGAGTCAGAGTCTGATGACTCACTGTTCATTGCTGACACATTAGCATTTGTAATTCTTCTCGAACTATCATCTCCTTCCAATAATGTACTGGATGGTTCATCTGAGAACTCAGCATCCGGGCTCCTTTCCTCACTAGAGAGAGATTCTCTGGCACTAACCACATCTTCAGAGCTACAGGTGTCTGTCTCCTGAATAAGACTTCCACTGTCTCCATTTTGACAAGTTTCACCAATTTCAATTAACTTAAAACTCCCAGTGTTGTGTTTTGGGAGCCGCCGGCACTTTCTGCGGAGTTTTTCATACTCTTTCCTGCATCAACAGATTGACTAAAAGTGAAGAAATAAACCAAACAGGTAATTCTCGGTAGTAATAAACTTATATAGCTAAAAGGAATAACAAAGTACAAAATATGGGGAAGAGAATGTCAAGTTTACCTTTTCTGAGTTCTAACAGCATCTCTTTCTTCTTTGGAACTGTTTAAGTCATAGCTGTTGCAGAGGAAAAGAAAAAGAATGTCATGATATGAGATGGGAAACCCATGGCTTGAGAGTAGCTAAGATGCTCCATTGGACACAAGCCCCAGACAACTATCATTCCATGGAAATGTAGAAACTTTTCATGATGTCTTGGCTTGAGGAGTAAAAGAACAACAATAGAAGCAGCAGCAACAACAGTAAAACAATTGTAACATAGGTTCAGTATACTTACACCCCGAGGAGGAAGGGCCAGACCTCAGCCGTAATACTTGGATCAACACCCTACATCAGTTGCATACAAGATTAAGCATTTCAATTACAAGAAAACAAATAAAAGAGAAAATGAATAGGTTACTTGCAGCAGTAACTCACTCTACTGCGAACTTTCTTCAAGAACTTGACTCCACCATCCCGGAGTCTACCATCAGGTGTAAACAAACTTCTCCACTGCTGAGGTGAAAGGGCATGTTTCTTTCTCCGGCGAGACCAGGGTGATTTGAGTCGACCACTGGAAAAGAAAGGGTCAAATTTACAAATGAAAAATGAGAAGCTAATGATAATATCATAAAAATGTGATTTACAAACATATAGGGGAAGACAAAGAAATTTCAACAGCAAAAATCCTAGCACCAAAGCAACAGTCAAGGCAACCAATTTATAGATACTAAGGCATCCCTTTATGAGGTTTAAGGAAAGAAAAAGCATCATTAAGTTTGCCAGATAAGGAGGTAGGGTTGTTTCAAAAATCACCACAGCATCATTAGGCTTTCTACTCCTACCTCATCATGCTTACGCCAGACACCAACTTTCATGAGCAAAGGGTACTGGCTTACACCAATGAGGATCAACCAGAAAAAAATAAGATCTAAAATCTATTTTGCTTGGGAGGTTCGTCAAACTGTGGAATTTGACTTAAATATAAAATTTGCACCAAATCAGAACAGATAAACCTGTCTAATAAACATTTTTTGAAAAATGATTCAAACAAGCATGGGTTATCAAAGATCAGTATAATCAAATGCCCAGAAGTTTCAAACTTTTAAACTGTAAAAAACACGATTAGCAGTTAGTTGTCTTGTAGAGAAGAGACAAATGGGCTCTTCATCTGCATATGCTTCCCTCTAGTATTCCAATTTGCAAAACGATAACTTCCATTTGATGATTCAAAAAGGGATAAAAAAAATCTCATTTCACATCATAAATAGTTTTTTTTTTTTTTCTTTTCAAAATCTCTCTGTTTCATTTGATTGTGAGTGTTAATATTCAAATATTGCAACTTTAAAAAGTCGATTAACATAATAATGAATACTATATCCGAGCAGATTGAAGCAATTGAAAAGTAGACTTAGTCAACGACGAAAATAAAATTGCTAAGGCACAATAACACAGATCCAACAAATAAGTAAAGCAAGGTAAATATTAGAATTTGAAATAAACAAGCAAAAAATGGACCAATGATGACTGAAAATTCTAATAAAGAAGACGTAAAAACCCTAATTAACAAAAAAAATTTAAAAGTAGAAAGAATCTAAATGAAAGCAAAGAAGAAGTGAAGCAAACAAGGAAACAGGTGGTTTTGAACTTTACCAAAGGAAAGAAATTTGATTGGAGATCGGGATCTGAATCGAAAATCTAACAACAGATTAATGAAAATGAGCAAGTGTTATAAGAAAAGAGGAAGAGGACTCACCGATCAGAGGAAGAACAAGAAGCTGGTGAAGAAGAAGTAACAACGAAAAGAACCGAGCGCAAATGAATCCACGATGATGACGAAGACGATGACGATGAAGGTGAGTTTGGAGATGAAGACGAACTCTGACTTCGTCTAAGAGCTCTCATCTATTAAAATTTGATTTTTATCACACTACTCTCACTACGTATCGTTACTAGGGTTTTTGGAGATTTTTTTTCACCGTTTAGCATTGAATGATTGATCAATTTTTTTGTTTTTTTTTTTACCTAGTGCTGGTGTAGAAAATAGCAGCGAAGAGAGCGTGGCCGGCGAGGGCGGTGACGGCGACGGAAATTTTGAAGGGCGGCGTCGCCACAGCCGACCAGAATCGCCCAACTCCGCCGCCAAAGTTGTGGATTCCGGTAGGACTGTTGTTGCCAGAGGGTACCATGGAAGAGTTTTAAGGTCGAGGAAGCCCAAACCAAGATGCCCGAGCTGCCCCTTCCTTTCTTTTATCTTCTTCTTCTTTCTCTGAGGTTTTTTTTTTTTTTTTTGGCTTTTGTTGGCTGCTTTCTCAAAGCTGAGCCCCCCAACTGAAATCCAACTGCTCCTGTTTCTTGTTCTTCATCTACTACTACTACTTTGATTTGGTTTCGTTTTTTTTTTTTTTTTTTTGTCACTTTTATGCTTCTCTCTCTATCTCTGGCTTTGGCCCAATCAATTGCCAAACAAAGTCATTTTCTTTTGTCTCACTCTAGACTCTACCTCTTAATAGCTTTTTAGAGAGAGAGAGTCTACGCCTACGCTTATTCCTTTGCTTTGCTTGCCTTGTCAGGTATTGGTCTAATTTTCTTTTTTAAGAGTTTCTACTGACTTTTTTGAAAAACAAATAAAAAAAAAAAAAAGGTGATTGAGCCAGTAAAAATCCAGAATTTCAATTTTTTCATTTGTGATTTTTAAATTTGATTTTTGTTATAAAATTTTTAATAAATTATTTATAATTTTCACATATATTTTTATTAAAATTTACAACATATTTTGATCTCAGAAATAAAATTCCATCACTGCCATTCAATCCAAATTTGTTCTCACCTACTCTCTTTTATTAAAAATCTAAAAAAGGAGAATTATCTTGCTCCATTAATGTAAGAATTTAGAAAAATTTTGTAACATTGAAAAATGTGAATAGTGGCTATGAACACTGATTTTTAATTGAATGAAGTCACATGCGAGTTTTTTTTTTTTTTTCTAAAATATAAATGAAATTCTTTAATATTTATCACTACTAAGTTTCCTTGAAAATGGTTTTAATGCAGTTCTAAACCTCCCATACAACAACTAAAGGGTGCTTTATCTAATTGATATTTCATAAATACTAGTTTTGTTTTCGGTTGTTCACATCACATGTGTGTATGCATGTGAATAATAAGCAAAATTAGGTGTGATATTTTTAGTAGAAGTAATATTTTATTACTATTATTTACTATCATAAATCATATCTTGAGAGAGACAAAAATGGAGAAGAAGAAAAGTAGGGGGACAACAAAAAAAATGAGAGAGAAAGGTCTGATTGCATTTGAGAATTTTGGCAAATCTGAGAGGCAGAGATTGTGCCCAAACAGGGGCAGAGGGCAGGGCATGCACCACTTTTTTGTACTGTTAAATGCGTAGATTGCTACAACTCTTATTGTTTACTATGGCAATTGTAAGGCAAAGGAACAGTAAAAGTTCACCAAACATCTGGTCTGGTAATTTCTTTCTTGTTGAGTGGCTGAGTGCTCTCTTTTGTTGCCTTCCTGCTTTTTCATTATTACAGGTGAAGCTGCTACAAGTTTTTTTTTTTTTTTTTTCTTACTTTGCACACAAATTTTAAACAACCTCCAGCAAATTAAGTGCTTGATTTGTTTTAATTTTGGCTTAGAATTCAAGTTAGCACTGGGGGTAATTATCTTCTAAACAGTTTAACAGTTCCACATTCTCAAGAAATTGTGATGTTTTGTTGAAGCATGCATCTACTTCATATTTCGTCCACATGGAGAGAGATGATCATATCAAGGAAATTTGAATTCTCTTTTGTGCCCAGAAAGCAGAAGCCTTTTCCCAATGAGAATTTGGTCAAATTTAGTTATAATCACATTGATTTAGACATTGATCATGATTTTGTCCTAATTGTGGATGTCAATCAATATGATAAAGAATTCAAAAGAAAAGAAAAAAGCTTTTGATTCATCAAGCAGAGTGGTTCAAACTTCAAATATTGGAGAACTCTGCGGAGACTCAACAGAAGGAGCCGGAAAAACATTGGGACCAGCAGCAAGGGTGGGACATGTCAAAACTATGTGGGCTGCACTGCTTATTGCAAAAGTTGCAACCTTTTGCAAGTTTTATGTACATAACATGGTTCAGCTGTTCAATAGTACCATAAATTAATGGAAGTTTTGGGACAAAAACCCAATGCTTTGGAAGCACAAAGGCAAACCATATCGGGTTCCCATCCTAAAGGTTGCTAATGTATCTTTTCATAAAATCATCAAAGAATAAGGGAAGAATTCAAGACCAATGGGTCAACAAAATGGAGCGCAGTGTTTTAAGACATTGTAAAAGATAAAGAGGAAAAGAAAATAAAGGAAAAAGAGAGGAGAGGAGAGGAGAGGTGCTTAAAACAAGAAATTAAAGGAATTTGGAAGGTGGAAAAAGTATGTAGAAAATGCTACAATGAAAGGGAAGGAAGGAAGGACCACGACCTCTTTTTTTTTTTTTGGTAAAAATCAAAGTGGTTCCGATATATTAATGATGCCTATCCTACAATTGGAAGCTACTTCCTAAATATTAATGGCTTGCTGAATCATAGGATTTAGAAGTATGAATCTAGTCAATTTGTGGAGATGTCTCTAATTTAATATATTTGAAGAGACAAGTTCCATTAACATCTTGGACTGAATATACAATTAGGGTCCTAGAAATAATACCCACTTGAGGCCTTTTCAAATTGGAAAATGAAAATAAAGTGTCGTGCTAAGTTAAAATGTAATATATATATATAAAATAAAAATTTAATCATATAAAAATAATAAAATTATTTTATTCACAAAAATTACGTTTAAGAGTACAAATATCTAACCAAGTTTTTAAATAAAAACTTATTTTTTTATTATTTAACATTAAGATTGAATTAAAAGTAATTTTTAAATGGAAAAATCAATTCAATTTTAATGCTAAACTAGCCCAGGCTAGGTTTTTTTTCCGGCGGATGACCTTCTATAAGTTTTCATGATTGTCAAATTGAAGCTTCTTTATCTACACGTGATCATCAAAGTCTTAACGACCTGATTTATGTATTACAACTTTGACTTCTTCCACTTTGTAATTATGATCAACTTTTTTTCTTCTTATACTCTAACGCTTTATAGGTCTGATTTGTCTGTATGTAGATTAGGTAGATTAATTGAACATCCCAAAAGAGCATGCCCAGTTTTCTTTCCACCCCTTTACTATTCCAATGAACCCAAAAATGAAAAAAAAAAAAAATCTCACAGCTAGCTGCGACATGTTATAATGACAGCAAAATGAAAAACTTTAATGTGGGAAGCTATTGCATAGGGGATCTACTTTTACATATGAATGCTGGCCCCCGCTCTTGGCATGCTCAACTTTTTCAATTACCGGCCACAATAATGAAGGGGGATTCAAGGGGAATAAAATGCAGATACAAAAGTGAGCTCTGGTTTCCATGGGACAGTGACAACTCGCCAAGCCCCAAGGACCAAGGTTGTCCCTGAGAAAATCAGTTCAGCATCAGTTCTGTTATCATTATAATTCATAAAAGAATGCAAAGCCTTAATTTTGCAAGAAACCATGCGCTCTAGTATTATCATCACAGGAATTAGTTAGTTTTGCTTTTACATTCATGATAAGTTGTTTCTAAAAGGTTTAGAAACACTTTCTCTCTCAATATCTCGATAGTTTTATGATTGTAAATAATAATAATAATAATAATAATAATATATGTACCATAAAAAAATGATAAATAATATAGTTAAGATTATGGTTACATATGAGCCAATATATCAATAAATATTATAGAAATTATTGCATAGAATCTGAGATTGAATGTAAATCCTTATTACTTTCCTTCAAGTTGATGTGTGATAGCGAAAGAATACCCAACTTAGTATGCAACATCTAAATATGATTTTGTGAAAGAGTTTTGGCGAATATATCAACCGATTGATGAGAAAATGCACAATGCGAGTAACTTAATAGCCTTGAGCAACTTTTTCATGAACAAAGTGATAATCAATCTCAATGTATTTCGTTCATGTATGAAATATTGGATTATAAGACATATAAAGAGCACTAATATTGTCACAATATAAAATAGATAGTTGAGACATGTGAACACCGAAAGCGTACATGAGAGAAGTAAGCCAAGTGAGTTCTATTGCTGTTGAAGCAATGGTCCTGTATTCAACCTTTGCACTGGATCTTGCAACAGTTTTGTTGTTTTTTAGCTCTCCAAGATATCAAATTTGCATAAAAAAACTGCATAGCCAATGACAGATCGACGAGTTAACGAACAACTTGCCCAATCAATATCAGAAAATGCATACAAATCTGCATTGGAATCTTTAAGCAAGTGCAAGTAATGGTCTGAAGTCCTATTGACATATCTTGGTATCCTTTTTACAAGCTGAAAGTGTCCAATAATGGGTGAAAGCATAACTTGACAAACTCCGTTGATTGCACAACATAACTCAAGTTTTGTAATGGTCAAATATTGCAAAGCACCAACCAAAAGTACAAAAGAGTAAGGGATTTGAGAATGTTTCCGTATCCGATGAAATTGAAAACTTGTTGACAAAACACCAACCAAAAGCACCAATCAAGTTTTCTTTTTCTTTTTAAAATTTATTATTTATTATTTTATTTTTTTTAAAGATCAACTTAGTATGTTGATAACATTGAAAGAATTTTTCACACTTAAGGATTTATTAAGAATCTCTATTCAAATTTCCTTAGAATCGTGTCATTGGAGGCTTGAATTTATTTTTCAAAAATTAAATAATATGCAGGTGATGCACATGATTAAATATTAGTGTAAATGTTATATTTTTCTCAAAAAAATTGTTGGGTTTTTTTTTAAAAAATTTTTATTTATACACATTTTTATAAAAGAAAAGAAAAGTTTTTATTATATTGAAAATTTTTATAAATACTCTAATGTACTAGTAGTATTTAAAAAAAATCTTCTTACTTAAAGACTTCTTAGGCATCACCATTCAAAATATCTTAGAATGTCATTATCGGATAAAGTTTCTTTTTTTCAAATGATGGAATTTAAAATTACCAAAAATTGGTTTAAAAAAAAGTATTCACTTTAAGAATTATGAAATTTTAAACATGCATAAATAACTCGGCAAAAATTAGAAAAAATAGATAAAATAATAATAAAAAAGGTAAAATAAAGAAATAAGGAATACCCGAATCGACTGGTGATTCAAACTGGCTTGGATCGATTTAAAGATAGTTTGTTACCAGTTCAAGCGGTTCAGTAGATAGATAAAAAAGTTCGGTTGATTTTTGATAGTTCAAGGGTGGTCTGTCACTAGTTCAAATGGATCAGTTCATGAGTGGTGAGTTGTGGTCGAATTTCAGTTGCCATGGTGGCTAGTGTAGGGTAAAGGCGGGCTGGTGTAGGTTAAAGGGGGTTGGTGCCATGCATGGCACCAAGCTTCAGTTTTTGTTTGTTTTTCTTTTTTTATTTTATTTTTTTTAGATTAATCAATATTAAATCAACCTGATAAAATTTTG